TACAGGGTTCCCCGGAAAGAATCTCATCCGATTTCAAAAATTTATATTTTAAAAAATTACACACAGAAAATTATAATTCAAACACGAATGTAACGGGAAAATGTGCGAGTTTTTGTTTACAAGTGTTCAATATGACTTCCTTTCGTTACACGTATGATATCATTCCGATATGAAAGTTCTTGCCAAACACGGTGTAATGTATCTCTGGTAATTGTTTGTACAGCATCGCAAATGCGTTTTTTTTTCAGTTCATTTGCACTTGTAGGTAAAGGTGGTACAAAGACAAGATCCTTCACAAATCCCCAAAGAAAGAAGTCGCATGGGGTTAGGTCGGGTGATCTCGGAGGCCAACTGTGTAGAACCATATTATCGGATGAACTGCGACCAATCCAACGGTTTGGTAGTTCCGTGTTAAGAAAATTCCGAACCTCCAAGTGCCAATGGGATAAAAAGTAAAACTCGCACATTTTCCCGTTATATTCGTGTTTGAATTATAATTTTCTGTGTGTAATTTTTTAAAATATAAATTTTTGAAATCGGATGATTCTTTCCGGGGAACCCTGTATTATCGTAAAACAAGAAAATGTCTAGGTTATTTTATGCCAAGTGAGACGACGCTTTTTTTAATTTCCTTTTAGAAAAATTTCTTAAAGTTTCACGAGAATTCTACTTTCTCTGGATCCGTATGCAGTTGGATGTACGAGGAGTGAGAAGCCTCTAATTCGTTTCTCGATATACCGTTAACATTCTTTTCTCGAATCACGAATGGTCTCGAAAAATCTAGAACATACCTTTCCCTCTCCTCTTAATCTTTCGTTTTTCATTTTCATCGAACTGACATTGTATGCATACATTTTTCAAGAATACATTAAAAGAAAAATATAATATATTACATTTTATGCTGTTTACATCATTCTTTTTTTCTTCTTTGTAAACAACACCGTTTAATCTACCAACTCAAAAATATCCCACCGTGTGAACTGCAAATTCTGGGGACATGTCAAACCGAACCACACGCAATGCAACACATAAAACTAAATTTTATTTTCCCTTCTCAATATTGTCGAAAGTCGGGACTATGAATACGGCCCGTGGTTCTTTTTTCTTTTTGGAAATTTTAGAAAAGCTACGAAGTAACCATTAAATGTAATTACAGGGTAAGTAGGAGCAAGGAAGAAGCAACTGTTGAAGACATTGTTCGACAATATTAAACGACTTATACGCGTCGGTCTATTCTAACCTAGAAAGGGGAACTGGTAGCTCTTGTTTCTCTTTCTTTCTTTTTTTTATACATTTCTTGAAATGTTTAAAGGAGCAAATAAAACAAATTACAGGATAGTAATGAGCGAGGAAATCGTAGTTATTTAAGACATTGTTCAATGAAATATAGGGCAATCGTGAATGGACTACAAAGTCCATATACTAAACTGTAGCTGTTATGAAAATTATTTTGGAAGCGATTGAAATTAAAATGGGAACGAGAGAGAGAGATGAGGAAGAATTAAAATAATCGTTTTAACCTAATCTAACAAGTATACTTATAACTCTAATTCATTACGGCGGAGTGACGTAACATCAACACGCATACGTATACGCTAGATTTAATTAGAAATGGAAGATTTTATGAATGGAGAAAATTTGTATCTATGGTCGGTAAATATATCTGTAGTCGGTAATGAGATTTTTTCAAAACCACGATATAGAAGGATCAGGCTTCGCAAAACCATGATATAGAAGGATCAGGCGTTGCAAAACCGTGATATTGAAGTATCAAAGACTGTTTTTTGCGCGCGTTTTTATCGTGTGTTCTTTTCTCCACAAAATCGTGTCAGTGAGGGGTTTGGGTNGCCAATTTACGTATCCTGGAGTACACTCGACAGGACGGGGATTATACGAATGTATATTGAACATCTTCATGCTAAATTTGTACGAATCTATAGACACGAATCCCGAGTCACGGACGCTGATGTTTCGAAAAATGCTATTCAACTGCCTGCGACAGTTGAGAAAGGTACATGTACTTTTTATTTTTAAAAGTGCAATAACTTGAATGTAACGCGTCACTTTTACACTTGGTACTTACTTTTTCATCCAAAATAGTCGTGGCTGTTTTAATCCCAATCGGAATAGTATACAGTCATCGAGTAATTGATATAAATATCGAATCGGATCTTCCGGCTGGTGTAGGATCAAATGTCCAATCAGAAAATGGAACGTCTCAAAAATTTGTTTCTTCACTAAATAATTTTGACTTTTGAATCGTATTTGAGCTGCGCTGGTCTGAAACTAGGCGATGAAAATTCCAATGTTCATTAATCGCAGCTCCACTTTCTTTTTTCTACGAAACGATATCGAGATTACCTCGCTGGTTGATACTAGACGAGACTCTGCGAGACTCTTGTTTCGAAAGTAATCGAGATATGTATCCATTCGTTAATGTATTCGACTGCTAAGTAGCTAGAAGCGAATTCTTTTTCTATAATTTATTGAATCTCTTTTTTTTGTAAAAAAAGAAGAGTTCTCTTTTGTTTTCCAGGCGACTTTCCATTGTGCAAATGTGGCGCCAAACGTGGAGAAAAGATGAAGCTCCGTTCATTGATGGTACAACGCCAATCGATGCAGCGGCAACATGCTGAACGTGTTGGCTAAAATCGACCGAGATCCGCCGCATAAAAACGAAACTCTGATGAATAGTATGGACGAAGTATCGTGTGTTCTTTTCTCCGCAAAGTCGTGTCAGTGGAGGGAGGAGGAGTAGGCTTGGGAGGAGGAGGGGAGGTATTAGGGGTAATACTAATTAAGTATTAAATTGTATAATAGTAAAAAAAAAGAAAAAAAAAAGTTTTTACACGTTGAATGCCACGCCGGTTTTACAGAAATTGTCCGTGGTGCCACGATGAATTTTCTTTCATGTGATACATATAATGTTGAAATATTATCTGCAATAGATAAGTTACAGTGTATAACCATGTTTGACATGTTAATTGTGACAGGAATCACTGTTTGAATTGACGATGGTAATAATACAAAATTTTAGATATCGACATTTGTTTTAAATTATATATATTCCTATCAATTTAGGCGCGTCGGTCACCGGTGGCCCCCATGGCGTCACCACCAAGTTAAGTGCCGGTCACCGGTGACCCCCGTGGCATTCAACGTGTTAATCATGCGATATTTTCTCTGGACCGTCTCGCGTAGGGCCTATGGCCCGAGGCTGAATCCGTCTTTTCCAAAGTGTGGTCGCTCCCGGCGACCGGGATAGTGTCCCCAACACCTTCACAGAATACCTCCACACCACCCCCGCTTCATGGAGCCTTCCCTTGCGGGGTGAGACGACTGCAAGATATCAAAGCGTGGATCTTCCTTGGAATTCCGATGTTTTGGTGGGCTCTTGGTCCTGGTCGTCCCCGAGTTGGAAAAAGAAAAGCATTAAATGCCTATAATGCACTTTGTTTGCCACCATGTTCTAAGGCGTACAAAACTGATAAAAATTAACGAATCGTAACCAAGCTTTTTTCCAAATATGGCTGAAGTTATCTCTTTTAGAATATATGTACAAATGTCATTTGTTTTCAATAATTGTGATATATTCAGTCGGGTCTCTTACGCTACCTACCGAAAATCGGCACGAACTTGCCGGACACACACAAACAACCCAATACTTTAGTTCTAATTAGATTTCTTCTTATTCTTATCATTATTATTATTGTTATCTTTAGTTGTTCGGGAATGGACGAGATAACCGCTTGTCGCGAATGGGATGCGGCACGACAACGTGACATCTCGTAAACACTACAACGTGCCACGGGAGACAGAAGGCCATCGCTGAACGAGCGACAATAATCAAACCATTGAGTCATCCTCGTTGCCAGGTGTCGAACGGTGATTCACTGTCACGACGTAATCGTGTACAATATATAGCAAACTCACCTTAATTGAAGCTCAGATTGTGCACAAAAATGAATAATTTGGGAAGAGGAGATATTCGAGCCTTGGCGGCTCGTTGGTATAGTTGTTGACAATCGGTAACTACAAAAATGAGCCGCAAGGCTCATATATTCGAATCATATTTCCTCTTCCCAAATTGTCCATTTTTGTGTACAGTCTATAGGCATCAATTAGAGAGAATTTACTATACGCAGATGTGCAACGGTCATTCGCGTTATTCTCTTTAGTCTATACTAGCTGTTTAGTTTATCGAGCTCGGACCGAGTTCTCAATACTTCAGTTACTTTTTATTTAGTGTATGTTGCGCACGGCACAAAATAATTGCCGGAGGTCGTAAGGAGACGAGAACGATTTAGTCCGACGTCGTGTCGCTTGCTGATTTATTTTGGACTCCACAGTCCACGTAAACTTGTATAAAACGTGTTGCGCACGGCGCAAAAGAATTGTTAATACATTAAAGGCGGGGGATCTTGAAGAAAGTATGCTAGGTAACGCGGCGACCGCCCCGCCTCGTTTTTCGTCCTAGAGCGGGCGATATTTTGTGTAATCATAAAAAATTTAGACTTAAAAAGGTTTATTTAAACTCTTGAAACTAAAAGAAATATTAAAAAAGAACTAAACACTAATTACAAAAAATGTTTTAAAGTACATATTTATGAGAAGTCGAGATAAATCGTAGTACTACGACTCCCGCCTTTAACCATGAAACACTTTTTAAACCATACAAACTAACTTGCAAATTTACAAAAAATCTGAAAAGTTTTCGTAAGTTGAACCAATTTCTGTAAAAGTTTCAGAATAAAATCTTCTGCAATGCATGAGACACGTAGCAAAATATCAACTATCACTATCAGTCTAATCGTCGTTATTGATATTGGAATAACATGAGAATAATCAATTATCGCGAATGGTATTAGCGGCCTATTATTTCTTGTTACCTGAAAATATTCTCGGAAAAAGGCAGCTTGTTGCATCAAGCTTGGATATCTATTCGCTATAATTGCATGGAACAATTGACGCAAAGTTACTTCTTATCATAACAGAAGATATCGATTTCCTTTGTGTTCGATGATCATAACACTACAATGATTAGTAGTTAATCGTCCGATTTATCTGAAATGGATTGTTAATCACATTCGTGAAATCGAGGAAAATTCGTTATAAATGTACATTAGCGCGACATATAGTAGTTCATTGCTTATTTTAATCCTTTCGAATAACGATGGCATCTTCGTTGTTGATACTAACGGTATTCCTCGGGTATCCTCGATAGATTTGTATAATCATGAATACGAACTAACCTCCGTATTTCACATGATATCCAACATCAATGCTGGCAACAATAAATTTGATTGCAGTGAAAATAATGAAGAAATTATCATTCCCGAAGGATCTTATGAAGTGTATGCAGGAAATACTTAAAAGATATCCTCATGGACGTGATTCGCAGGGCCATGTACACACTTTCGCCATACATAAGCATAATACTAACAACAATAGGATGAAGGGCGAAGTATACAAATCCCACAAGATTAATCTCCAGAAACCTAATAACATTGCATGAATATAATGTTCTTGTGAATATCATAAACATCAACGTAATCAGAATGGAATGCAACACAATTGCGGCTTGATACAGTAAGGATAAACCCGTACATATTATTCACGAATTTTCGCCTAGCCTCCCTCCAAGATATAAGAATCTTGGAAACGCCACCATGAGCTATTTGTCTTTTTAGCGTGGTGCGAATAATAATTGATTTCGTAATACGTCTCGTGGATCAATACAATCATCTCATTGATTTTCGTGCATATAAAACGGCGAGACCGTTATACCTACAATAAATATGTATTTCCATAAAATAATTAGCTCGATGCGACGTTCAAATAAATATATTTTAGACTGCGATCTCCAGCGTTATTTGTCCATGAAACGATATTGCATCCTCCCTTTCTCATGGCACGTAGCAAATACTGTATCTGATTTATCTTCTTTCTTTATTACTATTAACATTTACTTAAATTTTATGAAATGTGTTCTTAATTTTATGACAAAAGTCATAAATCGAGCCAATCAAATATTTTCGAAACCATTGATGATACTAAAGATGTTTCAAACGAAAGTTGTATGGTTTTAGAGGGCATATAATCTGATATGAATACAATTTTTTTAGATGGACGCATGCAGGACATATGAGAGTCAACTTTATTTTTTTTTAATAGTATTATAAATTTTTTCATGTACTCATTGATTCATCTTGTCATTTTCTACATATGTTTTCCACAAACTCTCCATTAACGTAACCAATATATCTGCAGATATTCATATTGTATTACTTAGACTTCCTATTAATTTAATAAAACAAATACATCATATAAAATATATAAATGTGTTAAACTTAAAATCATTGTTCATGCTTCGGTGCGCCTAGTCTGCTATCATGCTGCATATATGCTACCAACCTCACATAGACATAACGTTCATACTTACACACAAACGATTCTATTACAAATATCAGTATGTATCCCTTCTAAAACTAGTACTGTTAAAAAATGCTATGATATCTTCTTTACCGTGCTGGACAGCAAAATCCATAGGACTATTTAAATAATAATCTCGAATGTTGATATTAGCTCCTTTTTCCACAAGAAATTTAATCACATCTAAATGACCCTTTTTAGTACTGAAATGCAAAGGTGTAAGACCATTATTATTCCTTGGATTAAGATTAGCACCTTTGCTTACAAGTAATTTTACTACATTCATATGTTTTCTCGTAGCAGCTTTATGTAAAGGAGAGTCACCAAATTTATCAAACACATTTAATAATGCTCCTTTGTTTATAAGAAAGTCTGCTATCTCCAGGTAACCTTTAGAAGCAGCTTCGTGTAAAGTAGTCCAACGGTTATCAATCCTTCTAGTATTTACATATCGTTCCATACCATTCTCTTCTATAAGATATTTTACCATATTTAAATTGCCACTGTGCACAGCGAGATGTAAAATAGTCCTACCCCCTATATCTTTAGAGTTAATATCACATCCTGTTTCTTCTATAAGGTATTTCGCTACATCTAAATGACCTTTTTCAACAGCTATACACAAAGAACTGAGGTAATATCTATCACAAGTATTCATATTAGCACCTCTATCTTCTATAAGATATCTCAACACATCCGGTTTACCAGAAAAAGCAGCACCAGAAACTGAAGTCCTGCCCTTGTCAGTAGCAATATTAACATCTGCACCTTTATTTACTAAGTACACTACCACGTCATACTTGCACTCGCCAACAGTGGCAAGGTATAAAGGAGACCGGTCATTGTTGTCAACAACCGTTAAATTGGCATTCTTCTCATCTACCAGATATTTTACCGTGCTTAGGTGACCATTATTAGAAGCGTGATGCAAAGGAGACCAGCCATAGTTGTCAGCAACCGTAACATTGGCATTCTTCTCATCTACCAGATATTTTACCGTGCTTAGGTGACCATTATAAGAAGCACGATGTAAAGGAGTCCAGCCATGGTCATCAACAACCATAAAATTAACATTCTTCTCATCTATCAAATATTTTACCGTGTCCAGATGACCATTATTAGAAGCACAATGCAAAGGAGTCCAGCCATAGTTGCCAGCAACCGTTAAATTAACATTCTTCTCATCTATCAGATATTTTACCGTGTCCAGATGACCATTGTAAGAAGCACAATGCAAAGGAGTCCAGCCATAGTTGTCAGCAACTGTTAAATTAACATTCTTCTCATCTATCAGATATTTTACCGTGTCCAGATGACCATTGTAAGAAGCACAATGCAAAGGAGTCCAGCCATAGTTGTCAGCAACTGTTAAATTAACATTCTTCTCATCTATCAGATATTTTACCGTGTCCAGATGACCATTGTAAGAAGCACAATGCAAAGGAGTCCAGCCATAGTTGTCAGCAACTGTTAAATTAACATTCTTCTCATCTATCAGATATTTTACCGTGTCCAGATGACCATTGTAAGAAGCACAATGCAAAGGAGTCCAGCCATAGTTGTCAGCAACTGTTAAATTAACATTCTTCTCATCTATCAGATATTTTACCGTGTCCAGATGACCATTGTAAGAAGCACAATGCAAAGGAGTCCAGCCATAGTTGTCAGCAACTGTTAAATTAACATTCTTCTCATCTATCAGATATTTTACCGTGTCCAGATGACCATTGTAAGAAGCACAATGCAAAGGAGTCCAGCCATAGTTGTCAGCAACTGTTAAATTAACATTCTTCTCATCTATCAGATATTTTACCGTGTCCAGATGACCATTGTAAGAAGCACAATGCAAAGGAGTCCAGCCATAGTTGTCAGCAACTGTTAAATTAACATTCTTCTCATCTATCAGATATTTTACCGTGTCCAGATGACCATTGTAAGAAGCACAATGCAAAGGAGTCCAGCCATAGTTGTCAGCAACTGTTAAATTAACATTCTTCTCATCTATCAGATATTTTACCGTGTCCAGATGACCATTGTAAGAAGCACAATGCAAAGGAGTCCAGCCATAGTTGTCAGCAACTGTTAAATTAACATTCTTCTCATCTATCAGATATTTTACCGTGTCCAGATGACCATTGTAAGAAGCACAATGCAAAGGAGTCCAGCCATAGTTGTCAGCAACTGTTAAATTAACATTCTTCTCATCTATCAGATATTTTACCGTGTCCAGATGACCATTGTAAGAAGCACAATGCAAAGGAGTCCAGCCATAGTTGTCAGCAACTGTTAAATTAACATTCTTCTCATCTATCAGATATTTTACCGTGTCCAGATGACCATTGTAAGAAGCACAATGCAAAGGAGTCCAGCCATAGTTGTCAGCAACTGTTAAATTAACATTCTTCTCATCTATCAGATATTTTACCGTGTCCAGATGACCATTGTAAGAAGCACAATGCAAAGGAGTCCAGCCATAGTTGTCAGCAACTGTTAAATTAACATTCTTCTCATCTATCAGATATTTTACCGTGTCCAGATGACCATTGTAAGAAGCACAATGCAAAGGAGTCCAGCCATAGTTGTCAGCAACTGTTAAATTAACATTCTTCTCATCTATCAGATATTTTACCGTGTCCAGATGACCATTGTAAGAAGCACAATGCAAAGGAGTCCAGCCATAGTTGTCAGCAACTGTTAAATTAACATTCTTCTCATCTATCAGATATTTTACCGTGTCCAGATGACCATTGTAAGAAGCACAATGCAAAGGAGTCCAGCCATAGTTGTCAGCAACTGTTAAATTAACATTCTTCTCATCTATCAGATATTTTACCGTGTCCAGATGACCATTGTAAGAAGCACAATGCAAAGGAGTCCAGCCATAGTTGTTAGCAACTGTTAAATTAACATTCTTCTCATCTATCAGATATTTTACCGTGTCCAGATTACCATTATTAGAAGCACAATGTAAAGGCTGTCTCTTATACACATCTAGATGTGTATAAGAGACAGCCTTTACATTGTGCTTCTAATAATGGTAATCTGGACACGGTAAAATATCTGATAGATGAGAAGCTGTCTCTTATACACATCTAGATGTGTATAAGAGACAGATTTTACCGTGTCCAGATTACCATTATTAGAAGCACAATGTAAAGGAGTCCAGCCATAGTTGTCAGCAACCGTAACATTGGCATTCTTCTCATCTACCAGATATTTTACCGTGTTCAGATGACCATTATCAGAAGCACAATGCAAAGGAGTCCAGCCATTGTCATCAACAACCATAAAATTAACATTCTTCTCATCTATCAGATATTTTACCGTGTCCAGATTACCATTATTAGAAGCACAATGTAAAGGCTGTCTCTTATACACATCTAGATGTGTATAAGAGACAGCTTCTCATCTATCAGATATTTTACCGTGTCCAGATGACCATTGTAAGAAGCACAATGCAAAGGCGTCAGTCCGTAATTATCTATTGTATTGATATTGGTCCCTGTGTTCAATAGAACTTCCATTATTTCTATATGACCATTTCCTGCTGCACAATGAAATGGAGTTCTTCCAAATTTGTTTGGTTTATTGACATCACTCTTGTTATGTATTAAAAGTCTCACTATTTCCAAATGGCCATTGCTAGCAGCCAAATGCAACGGTGTACTCCCACAGTTATTTGGTTTAGTAACACTTGCTCCTTTGTTTGTTAGAATTTTTACTATGTCAATATAGCCGTTTCTAGCAACTAAACTTAATAATGTTTGATATTCATTACCATTGTCATTGAGACATTTAAATAGATGATCAAGATCAAAACGATTCTTCTCCCACTCTTCATATGTGACTGGATCTGTTGCCTTTAATTTCTCCTTTCCTTTTTCAATAATAATACTTTCACTCAAACCACTGTCAGCATTAATCGATGCTATTACTTCTAACCACACACCATGCTCCATGATTTCTACCCCAAATGTGTAATTTTGTGTATGTGTTTTTATGAAATGATTGATTCACTTTTTGTATTTCAGGTCATAAATCTTACATATGTATAATATACCAGACCAGACCAATGGCCAACTGTCCAACTGGCGATCCATAAGCAGCAGTTGGCTTATTCCCCCATTTATTCACTTATTTCACAGAGTAGCGATATGATTACTCCCACCACATTCTGCAAATTCGCATAATTCAAAAAGTAGGGATGGCTACGGATGGGATATCGATATCCGACGTATCATTCGCTGCTCTGGAACCCCACTCTGAAATCCCACCTCTTAGAATCAATGAGGATAAAGCGAAAGCTCAAGGTTAAATTGAACACAAGAGAGTGAATGTTTAAGTGAAACCCACAGCAATCGTGCCCCCTTACAAGAAAAGGTTCCCAGGTCTGACGCTGACTTTTTGATGAAATTTCGCATAGTAGTAGAGCTTTTAAAACTCTATGTTATTATATTTGATTTATTTCTTTATTTTCTTGAAATATGTAATGTTAAAGTTGTTGGTAACATAGCTAGATAGATAAGGTGGCTCTTGGGCCATTGTATCATGGAGCGAGGGCCGGAGAGGGGGTGACTTAATGCGACACAACGGAGCGGCTTATCTTTCACAGGTTTTGTCACTGACAACTTCAACATTAAAAACCTCAAAAACTATTAGCCGTCTGCACTCAATACAAAGCACCATTAGATTCAGTTTTACAAGCTTTGCCACTGTGTGGAATCTCATCAAAAACTCAGTGTCAGGTTTGGGTACCTCTCCTTGTGAGGTGTAAGACTAGTAATGTGATTGATTAGCGTCAGTCGTTACAATCCGACATCGAAGTACGTAGTGTCATTTACTTGGTATCAAATATCAAGTACTTGGTATCATTTATCAATACTAATACCTCTTCGTTCGATACCACATCAAATGTAGCAACCATGTCTAGTAGAGGTCGCGTGTATACATGGTACGTGAAACGTGTAGTAAGAGATTAAGGATTTGGACCCATTGATCAAGTATGAGCCCGTGTGTGCTAATAATTATTAAATATTCAGTGGAAGAATGATGTGATAATGAATCTTTACAGTCCGAGTTACGGACAGAGAGTGTCAGTTATCTTACACAATACGCGCGAGCAACGGTCCCCACTTCTCCCGCAATAATCGAACACGCAGTCTTTAAAATGAGAAAATAGTTTTTATTTCTTTCTGACTTTTATTGCATTTTTTCTACAAATCGTTCGATTTACTAAAGAAACTAACAGCCAAATACGCGATCTATTCAGTTTTGTCTAACATATTCTTCGATATAATTAATAATTTAGAAATTATTCGAAAATAAACATTTAATCAAATATTTTAAAGTTCAAGGGCTTGGAGGCATGTATTCTGATATTGATTTGATCTCGTATTGGTACCAGGGATCCCAGCTCTCACCTCAAAATGGCGGACAGATCCCAGGATGGGAATCCGACGACACGTACGTGACACACGATGCAATATTCGTGCGACCAAAACGCCAACTGTAGTGCCACATTTCATACGGAGTCCATACCGTGTAACAAGAACTTTGACGCGTCGCATTCCCACTCAAAGATCTGTCCGCCATTTTAGGGCGAATGCTGGGATCCCTGATACCAGCGTTCGCAACCGATGTCTTCGCAACTCCATACACTTGCGTGTCTCGCCCATACTATTTTAGACAATTATCTTCATACTGCCGTTCGATCCTACTCGCCATTTTACATATGGATATGCATGCACACGCTCATGCACATTCACATGACCATTCAGATGTACATTCACAATTAATTCTCGACAAGGAGTTCACTTTCACATTACTGTCACAAAACACTAGTCACTTAATTAATCCTCGGCAATCGGGAAAGATGTGCGGATGTCCTTTGGATTCTTCTCGTCGGCAAGCTCATGATGCCGTCTGTTTCCACCTCCTCGAGGATTGCTTCCTCTGCTCCTAACGCCCGTACTAAACTCCTGCTCCTAACTCCGTGATAAAAATGATTTTCGGTAATCAGAACGGAACATAACTGTACTTTCTAGTTTCAACGCGCGCTTTGATTGCGAGCCGCCGCCTCGTCGCCTAACAACCCACGAATCGATGCCCCGGCCTCGCATCTGGCTCGGTTGCTCTCCGCCGGTTTATTTGCGGACGGCAGCACAGTGCCCTTCGGGAGCCAATAACACAAGAAGTATCTTACTGCCGGGCTTCCGGCGAAATGCTGACGAGCGATTTTTCTTTTTTAGTTGTGGTAAGGTGGATCTGTTCCTGCCAGCTGTGCCGGCTTACCAGATACAGTGACTCGCATTAAGGTTGTATTTTACATAATTGAGTAAAATGTCGCCCAGACGAAAGAAAAACTACGGCGAAAAGCTTAATTCGGAAGATACAATCAAAATCTTAGTTGCAACCGATATTCATCTCGACTATAATTTCAATAAGAAAAGAGGTTGGTTTTCGAACGATACTTTTCCAGAAATTATCTTCCATTTCCTTTTTTATTTAAACAGTGTCACAAAGTTCTACATTTATAATTACAAAGGAAAGTGCAAGGCCTTCGGATCACCGATTTAGTTTATTTTTCGTTACTTGATAATCGTCACTAACAGAACTCCATTCAAAAAGTACCAAATCTTTAATTGTAAATCCATAAACAACTATTGAGTGTTTGCCATTATAAAGCTATATTTATATAAACACAAAATCTGTGACCCGAAGATTTTGCACTCTCCTTTTCAATTAAGGAATTTTAACACCAATTGCTAGTTTTGGGCCCAATTGTCATGAAATGTACTCAAGTATACTAAAAATAATTAACTTATGCAAGGACAAGAATCGGATGACACCTTTATTACTTTTGAAGAAATACTTCAATATGGCCATGAACATGAAGTAGACTTTATACTGCTTGGTGGAGATTTATTTCATGATACGAAACCATCACAGTCTGCCATGTTAAAATGTATGGAGTTGTTAAGAAAATACTGTTTAGGTTCCAGGTTAGTAAGATATGTTTATACACAAGATGAAATTTGAAGTGCGATAAAATTGATTATTGTCTTTTCATTAGACCAATTAAAATTCAATTTTTGAGTGATCCAGAATTAATATTCCAACACTGTCCTCAAAAAACTGTAAATTATGGAGGTCCAAATGTTAATATTAGTATCCCAATATTTTCCATTCATGGGAACCACGATGATCCAAGTAAAAAATATAATACACAGTGTTAACACAATATTGTTTTGACTATTAATAACAATGATTAAAATTACAGGCTTTGCAGCAGTTGGATCAATGGACTTGTTATCTATCTCTAGCTTTATAAATTATTTTGGAAAATCAACAGATCTCACTCATATTACCATTCCTCCACTGATATTGAAAAAGGGTAATACCCATCTTGCACTTTATGGCTTAGGCTACATAAACGATGCAAGGTTATCACGCTTGTTGAGGGATTCTAAGGTAAACTTGAGAGATACATATCTGTAATGGGCCACCTTCTCTTCTATTTTTGATGCAATTGATTTTCATTCAAAGGTGGATATGTTACAACCAAAAAATATAAATTGCTTTAATCTGTTCGTCTTACATCAAAATCGCGCACCACATCTTGAATATGGACATATTCCTGAAACAAAACTTCCCGATTTCCTTGACTTTATCATATGGGGGCACGAACATGAATGTCGTATTACGCCAGAGTTTATTTCTGAAAGAGCATACTACATTTCTCAACCAGGTATATTTTCAGATTTATCTATTAATTATAATACATGGTAATTATGAGACTACTGCTTATGAAATGCACTTATAGGTAGCTCTGTTGCAACTTCTTTGTGCGAAGGTGAAGCAAGGACTAAACACATTGGTCTGTTGAGCATAAATGGTAAGAGTTTTAAAATGAAGAAGTTACAACTAAGAACTGTTAGACCTTTTGTGTTCGACAATTTGATTCTTGATTGCAAGACTATACAGAATGATAATAATTTGTTGCTTTCGGACTCTGTATATAATTTCGTCGACGATTACATAGAAAATAAGATAATACCCAAAGCTGTAGAACAACTATCAAATCACCCAAAGCAACCAGTAGTACCATTGATTCGATTGAGAATATTTCATACTAAAGACGAAGAAGTATTTGATACAATTAAGTAAGATTCTATTAGTATATTAGCGAATACAAATTTCACACAAACGGAAGTAAATAATGTGTGTATTTCAGATTGGCACAGAAATATTGTGAGGTAGTTGCTAATCCTTTGGAAATGATTTTATTCCGTAAAAAAAGTAGCTCCGGTAAAAGATCATCGTCTAAATTTGACGATTGTAGTGATATTTACCAGAATATGGCTGACATTTTCGGCGACACTGAGGTAAACAAAAATTGAGATATTTCACAATAATCGGTGATCAAATTTGTTCAATTTTTCAATTAGGAGGATCAAAGATGGAGCAGAACCGTAGAAGGAGAACTAAAAAAATACTTTAGTTTGGAAGAAAATAAAAATCTATTAACAGTACTAACAGTGGATAGTCTAAACGAAGCATTAACTCAATTTATTAATAAAGGTGATAGCGATGCTTTCAAAAACTTAGCAAGGTAATGCTTCTACAATGAAATATTTTAAAATATTGATTTGACATTGTAAGTTCGATTGTACTGTTACTATTGATTTTGTACATGTAGCCATCAAATGGAAAAAATTGTGTCACATTTGGAAACTAGTGAAGTTACTGCAAATGCTGAAAGCATCGAGGAAGAAATTAAAAGTTTTGTTGATAAAAGAAAGGAGAAAGCACAAGATGAAGACATGGATGTATATACTTACAAACTCATTTAAAAATAATATACTATTAAATGTTACAGGTTGGATAATCATGTACTATTTTATAGATACAAACATTATCCATTACTAAACCTGCAAAACCCTCTACTAATGACGAGGTAATAGATGTTGACAGTCGTAGTGATAGTGCAGACGAAGCTGAAAGATTACATAAAGTTCCTTCCAGAAGAGGTAGAGGTAGAGGAAGAGGAGCACGTAATAGAAGTAAAGAAACCAATAAAAGTTCTTTTGATATAACAACTAAGACATCGTCTACTTCAACTAAAAAACAAACAAAGACGCAGGTACATTGTAGAATTTCTATTTAACGATTCATAGTTTATATAAGCCTTTGATTTGCTATTTACCATAACATATTATCATTTGTTACAAGGATCAAACATTGAGCAGTTTCGTAATGAGGGGAATAAATCTCAATGAGGGAAACAAACGCAAAGCCAAACTAATCGATACAGATTCAGAATAATTTGTCCAGATCTGAATCCTTATTCATATGTGGCTTTTAAAATACTGTATTGAAATAAATATATTTTCATATTTGATATTTATTTGACAATACCCACTTAAAAACTTTGGACGTTTAATTTTGAGCAGAATAAAATTTTGTTTCTAACATTTTTTGATCAGACTTTATTATGCAAGGATATTTAATAAAATGAAAAATTTGGTTATCTATAAAACTTTTTTAGTTTTTTTTATGACTGAATTCTGATAAATCAATAACAATTGCATATTTTTCACTTGGCTTTTATACTACATAAAAAATCGCAGTTTTATGTTTTGGAGATGTGAACGACTAGTGTGTAAAATTTGTTGTATTAGAAATACTTAAATTTACAGTAAATATTCAGGTTGTATGGGCGTTTCATTAATTTTGATTTACATTGTATTAACATCTGCACACAATTTATTAACGTTTCACCTGGAATTTTTAATTTTCTTCAATTATACATTCATTCAACAACGATGATTCCTGTGTACGGTAACAAGCACCATATGCAATAATTAACATGTGCAACCTATCACATTCATCGAACTCGACACTCTTCAACTCGAACCCAGAAACAGAATTTCTTATCAGAAATTATTCATATAAAATTTTTAAGCTATTTTATTCTCCGATCTAAGTCTTACTTAGACTTATTTTCTTTGGGGAAACATTTTCAATTTATTGGTGATAATGCTATTATCCTAACAATAATAAATAAAATTGATTTTGGTTAATAACTGAATATTGGCTTTGACAATGTTGGCTCTGGAGCTACTAGCCACGACCAGAACCGAATGAGTAACTTGTGCCTCTTGGAAACAACATTGTAAGTGTTTTACCATTGCTTGTTAATAGCAATAAAATTATCATTACACATGAGAATCTGTACTTAGAAACAATATCAATGAACTGATAATGTTTTTCTGATTAAGAGGAGGCCAAACACCATAAATTGAATAAAATGGATTACATGAGCATTTCAATGTTTCATACGAAATTCATCAACGTACTTTATTTACGGCTTTCTAAAAATGTTTTAATTTGTGCAATTTTTAGTATAAAATGTACGAATGTCAGTATATATTGGAACACATTACAGTTACGACACCCCATTTGTTTATGCCCTTTTTAATATTTTCGTACCAGGAAATAGTACCTTCGGTATTAAAATGAGATGTTTATTGCATAAAGCTTACTATAAGAAGTTATGTAGATGAGAAGATATTTGTTAACATTATTTATAAGCTACAAATATTTAAAATCATACTTATGTTCTACGGATTCGTTGGACTTAAATAACACTATTGAGCGATAAAAAACATGCAACATATAAACGACAATCGAAACGCAAACATTTTTAGATTTGTTTACACGACGTTAGAGGTAACTTTTTATTTTCTATGTACTTCAATCCCGCTGTCAAAATTAAAAGTAAGTACAGTAAATTCTTCCCAATTGTATTTCAGCTTGTAAACAAAAATGGACAATTTGGGAAAAGGAGTCTCGCGGCTCGTTTTTATAGTTGTCAATTGTCAACAACTATAAAAAAACGAGGCGCAAGACTCGAATAATCGTATCTCCACTTCTCAAATTGTCCATTTTTATTTTCAAGTTGAAGAACAATTGAGGAGATTTCACTGTAATACAATTGGAGGACAAATGTCAGGACGTAAACTGTCTGGAAAAGACCATCTGGGTAACTAATTACATTCTTTCCTTGTTTACCTACTTTTCAGACAGAAGTACTTGCGGTGGAGGTTACCTGTCAGTTGTCCGATGGAATGATAGTTCGAGGTTATAGGACTGGAGCTGGCAGGATTAACGGTTCGATTGTCGTTGGTCAACAGAAGTGAGATTTGCCGCGGCCGGGACGGCCGCTCATTCGGCTGGGAGGGCAGTGTTATCGCGACTTGCCCAAATCAAGTCGCTGTAATGTGAAACTGCCTTGTTGTGAACAACTCCTTAAAGAATAATAGAAGATAGGGGTTGCCACGGAAGTGTGTTACCAACGGACATCCCACTTCTGAAAGATCTGAATTGTTATTGTATCGAATTGTGTTACAGTTAATATTCTTTATTGTAAATAAAATGCCGCGACGCGAGAGAAATGGTGTAATTCGCAACAAAACGATTCTCAATAATTATTCTTAATAATTTCATGATTATTGAGGCTGATACAGCAATTTCATTTTCAGACTTGTATTTGGTAAGTGTCGCTCTATAAGGATCGCCTCTGTTGGATATTAAAAAAATCTAAGAAAAGTTAAAGTTTGTTGTGGACAGCATTATTTGTTCCTCCAGTTTGTTTAATAAAAAGAGCGAGTAAAATTCGAAATAAAGTGTGTTCTTTAACACGACCATATAAAACATACAAAGTTATATTCATGTGTACAACAAAATTTTAAATAATTCAGCGATTATAAAAGAATGTACCTAAATATTATATGTTATTAAAAAAAATTGTAATGACTATTATCGCAACACGGTGTTCGCTGGTTTTACAGGATATTATAACACAGGAAGGATTATAACAAAGGAAGACGAAACGGGCTTAACGCTTATGTTTTGAAGTATGTTTTAACGCGACGTAAAATATTGTAATGTAATTTTTAATTATTGCGATTTTAGTTTGTGCCATAAAAATATTGATCGTCTAAAATCTTCTCAGCGATCAACGATCTATACCGGCGTTAATTATGCACGTGGATATTTGTCTTGGCAGATCAAATAGTAGGATATCAAAGGTGGATAAGACGATGCGAATAAACGTCAGGTTTGTTTGATAATTATCAAAAATATTATTACTGAAAATACATCGATTTACAAACAACACAAACGGAGGGGCGCGAAGCGGGATATATCTACTTTCGAAATAACGTCGATAATGTACAGTTCTAATAGTCACACAATAAATAGTATCACATTCTGAAGATCCGGTTGTCACCTCGAACTATCCGCGGAAGATCTCGCCGTCGAAACTAAAACGACAATTATGGACAATTATGGCGTCGGTGATATTGGCAATTCTCCATTGTCGCTTCTTTTATATACACCTATCGAAGTTAGCAACGTATAGAGGCATGCGATAAAATGATCTCTTTATAATGACTCCTTTTTCCGTCGATCGTCGACCGACACCACGGTGTCCCGTAGGTAAACTGCGCATCATTACGAAAAATAATTATTCAATTCGTCAAACTGGCAAAGGAAAATTGAATTCTCCGTTCAATCGCTTTTCTATAGTAAAGAAGCTTCCAGCATTTTCTCCTGGAAAACTCGTAAAGCTTGTTTCATTTTCGCTAGAAATTGATCAAGTTTTGTTCGGTTTCGCTAGACGCTCGTATATAAAGCTATGTTCTTTTCTTTGTTTTATTGAAATTCATAAAACATTGTTGTCTTGTTGTACGCGCATGAAATTCGCAGTGTAGCCACGAGCAACCTTGTTTAAACGGACGATCGGGATCACGATCCGATTTTTGCTCGTGAAAAATACGTTTAATAAGGATCAGTCTTCTTGATGCTCGAAGCAGCCCGATGCTAAGCCGCCGAATCACTCCGACAGAACTTGCAGAGTAAACTACAGCCCGTGATTCCTCGTCATTCGCCCAGATTAACGAGTTCGCCAGCGACGCCAGCCGCGGAAAAACGCTCGAAAGTTACCGCGGCATCGAGAAGTCGACCTGACACGATGCCCTGGCGTTAAACTGTCAAGCTATGGTACTAGATACGCTATTCTCAGATCGTTATTCCCTTCTTCGTATTGTCCGCGAATTTAATTACGCGAAGCTGAATGAAAGATGGAACATTTCGTATACATCAAGCCTTTTAGTATCGTTTGAAAGACGAGGCTTCGATATTAAAATCGATATTAAAATCCATGACAGATTTACGGAGCACAAAAGAAACAACTGTTTTACATCAGTTTATAAAAGTAACAATAAGACATTTATTCGGATTTTAACAAGCGTTATTGCAACATTTGCCGTAAGTAACATATAAATTGAATAAATAACTCATAAATGGATGATCGTAAATTAAAATATTAGTGACCCGCCATTTTGACGGGTCCCGTAAATCTAGTGTTAATGACGAACCAAATTTTCTAACATTTGTAAAATATCATTCTCACAATTTAATTGTACCACTATAACTTGTAACATTCTCCAGTTTCATGTGTGCTACGTTGCGCGAAACTGTGTTAGAGGAAAGCGAAAGCGAAAGCTTTGGTCTTTGAAACGAGACCAGGCTTATTGTGGTACGATATTTCTTTACGAAAAATTATGACAGTTCAAGTGTCGGTGTAATCTGAAGAGTCTGTACTGCGCTGTAATTCGTAAAATTAAGAAGTTTGATAACAAAGTTAAGATCGGATGGCAACCTTTGCAGAGTTCAATTATACAGGGTCATTTGAAGTAACTTTTCCTTAGCGCAAATACAATCCGTGGCTTTGTTTTTAACGGAAAACACTGACCAATGAGGGGCAAGCTTGGCTGGCGCAAGGCGGCCGAGCCAATCAGAGCAATTGGGCTTCGACCTATCGTTGACACCAGCCGAACTCGCCTTTCATTGGTCACTGTTTTTCGTGTCTTCAATCTTTTCGAGGCTTCTCGCTAGCATGGTCCTTATTTTTCGATTTTCTATTTTGTCTATATAGTCTTAACCCCTTCGCTCAATTACGATATTAGATGAGAAAGTTATGCGTACAAAATTTGGAATTAATGGAGGATAATCGGCACAGCGTGTACACGTACAGTGGGTGTAAAAAGTATACGTACACCCTTTGAAACAGAATAAGTTTTTCATAATTGGACCACGTGGTCTAAATTTTTTTTGAATGACAGAAGGATTAGTTTACTAGACAGTGACTAAAAGATTTCATCGAAATCGGTTAACTTTGATACGAGTTGTAAGTAATTAAAGTTCGCGAAAAACGCAATTTTTCACGAATTTCAACCAAAAGCAAGTAATTTGTACAACTTTCAGTGGCTGTAGCTTGATTATGCGTCGACCGATTTTGAAGAAATTTTCGGCATGCGTATAAGTTACTGAGACCTACAAAATGCATCTTTTAAATTTTCGTTATAGGGTCAGATAAAAAAGTTGAAAAAACATCATTTTTTAATTCTTTTATCATGCCAACAAATTGCAACTTTTGAAAATAATTTTTTAGCTCTTGTCTAGTAAACTAATCACTCCACCCCACCCCACCCCCCCAAAAAATTTAGATTGTTTTGCCCAATTATAATAAAATTATTACGTTTTAAAAGGTGTACGAATACTTTCTACACTCATTGTATGTTTGAATTTGATATACGAAGGAGAATGACTGCTGCAAAAATATTTTCTTCAGTTGTCTTTAATATTTCTATAGTGAAAACGTCCGTTTTGTAATCGATTTCCTGTACAAAAGGTGACCTAAAAGTCACTCGCATCGGGAAATGGGTGATTTCCGAGGTCATTATTTAAAGTAACTATCTCCTTAGCGCAAATGCAATCCGAGTTATTAACGAAAAACACTGACCAATGATAGGAGAGCTCGGCTTTTATTTGGACAGTGTTTTTCGTCAATAACTCGTAAACGAAATCGGATTGCATTTGCACTAAGGAAAAAGTTACTTCAAATGACCTCAGGGGCCCCTCATTTCCCGACTGGAAGTGACTTTTGGGACACCTTGAATATTTTTACGCGTTCTATTATATTAAACATTATTTATAAAATTCTGCATTTATTAAACCTTATCAAGAAGCAGTCGGACAACGGTCACGCTTGCCGCATTTGCGTTAAAGTATAAAAATATTAACCATTTGATCTCATTTTCGAACATAATTGTATTTCGTTATTTTAGAAATATTATTGAAGGTTTCTGACTAAAAGACAGTGTTTTATTATTAGATGTATAATGATGAGCTTTATGTGTTACTTCTAAAAATATATAAAAAGTCTTTAAGGATTCACCATTAAATGCAATGTACAATGCAAAATATGACAAAGAAAAATAAACTGAATTTGAAACGCGGGAGATATGATAAATTGTAAGGCCATTATTAAAGGGAAAAATACTTTCAACACTATTATAGGGACGACGCACAGTGTTATATGACATTGACAAAAGTAAAAAAAACTGAAGTTAGTACTGCCCACAACTTTTACTGAATTTTTCAGTTTCTTGTCAAAAACGATGCTTGAAATTTACTCCAATTTTCAGTGCATTCTTTTTTTAAAACGTGCTACTCGTCGAATGTTTATCCGATTAATCTGATTTTTATAAATTATGTTCAATATTATAAGACCTTCCAAGCTGCAGAACAATTTTTTTTACAATATTAACAATTTGTTCCAATTTTGTGTGTTAAATGTTTATCGACTTTAACTTGGGTTTTAAAAAATGTACCAAAAAGTACCTCTGAGATTTTTTGCACATTAATTCGAAGCATATTAAACTTCGTATTCACGTTAAATTCAGCTGCTCGAAGTTGCTCAAAATGGAGAAAATAGTCGAAACCATTACTAAGACGAATTTCCGATAAACTGATAAAAAAGTTTTTTAAAGAAATGTTAATCAGTAATTTTATAATAATAAATTGCGATCGAAAAATAAGTATACAACTTTTTATTTAATAATAAAATTAAGATCATCGTAATTTTTTATTAGTAAAATTGTGTTTTTTTAAAGCAATATTAGGGGTCTTAGGTGAAAAATGAATTAGTTTAGAAGTTATGAATTTTGTTGCGAACATCCATATAGTTGTTACACCGTGCGACGCCTCAAAATCACGCCGAAAAACTGAGAATTTATTATTACAACGAATCGAATCAGAGCCGAACATTATAACTCGGCACGCTTTAATATCCTAACTTATGATTCATGAGCAACACACCCGAACTGTAAGTGAAACCAAGGAAGCGAAGAGGTATAAATCACGTAGCATGGTAATGTAACTAAGCTCTACGACTCGCGAAGATCGAGATTCATTGAAAATATGCAGAAAATGATGTTACAACATCAGGCCGTGTCTTCGCACCTTTACATTCCTGTAAGACTTTAAGGAATGTAACTTACGTATCTAGTCACACGTACATCCAGTACATGTAGTTAGTAAGGTAAATAAGTTAATAAATCTAAAGTATGCATCTAAAACCTGAAACGAACCTACTCCGAGGCTTCGAAGACCGACTACAGGGAAGACAATTATGTTCGAAAATATAATAAAATCATTTAAATGTTGAAAATTTCATGCAAATGCGACGTGATTGTCATTGTCCGATTGCCTCCAATGTTTGCCAACGTTATATCTTCTCTAACAAGAGAAGTAAGTGCCATAATTTGGAGGGGTAAGACCCTTTTACGGCTAAGGACCACTCTGCTGTTCACTGGTAACTGCTTCGTTGTTCTCGAGCTTCAAACCGGCCTCTGCTCGTTCTCCTCGTTCATGCTCCACATGGTCATCGAGAATTCCTCTTTGCGGAGGCCGGCGTTCTCCATGATACGATTTTCCGGGGCAGCATAGGTGCCTCTTCCGGCCAGCTTCAACGACTTCAAGCCGGGAAACCACTTTAGCAGTCGCCACCATTTCTTCTCGGAACCGTCCACGTTCGAGACTTTCACCGTGGTGTATTTGGCTGACACGGGCCCGCCGTTTTTCTGGTACCTGATCGATCTGTCGATCCTTCGGTCCCCTTTCACCAAGCTATCAAGAGTTCCGATCTCCTGGCTTTTGTTCTTCGCCTCGAAGTTGTCGACCACGTTTGGCGAGTCCATTGCGCCGCGTTCGATCAGAGACGTGGTTTGCTTCGGGCTGTCTTCTTTTACAGAGTTTCCGGAACACTCGGTGCTCTCGTGAATCGCTGTCACTGTCCCCGCTGTGCCCACTGTTCGCGAACCATAAGCGCCCGGAGCCCGTTGCTGCGACCTGGACAGGCTGGAGTAGGACCTCTGCTCGTTACGAATCGCTAGGCCTGGGATCCTACAACTCCTCGACAGCGTTTCCTGCGAACAGAAACCCACCAAACGTTGGTGCTCGGTTAGACGATCGTCGGAAGGTCAGCGAACTTTGTTTCAATTAGATTTCAAAGAGATAGAGTACAAGCACACGTTCAACATTTGGAAATTTAGGATCGCATTCGAAGCCCATCGCTTTTATGTTATCGGGACTATAAAAAACGCTCGCCACTTTTACAGGAGTTGTATACGCCCACCTTGAATTTTGATTGGTTCCTCGAGAATCCGTGCTATTCTTTTTTTCTGAAGCAGGTACCACGTATTTCACGTGCAGCGGCCACGTTCCGTCCTGCAACGAAATTTTGATTCTTCTTTCATTCGGTTCTCTTTGACACGATCTTGTTTCCCTTCCAAGTTTGAAATACCTTGACTTCCTTTCGAGAAGAAGAATCCTTTTCGGTTTACGAGGAGAACTTACGATCGTGGAAATCGCTTTTAGAACGAGAGTGGGTTCAAGTTGCAGTACATACAGTGTGAGCAATAATTTTTCTAATAATATCGTGTCCGAATATTAACGCGAGTCATTGTAAATAATAATAAAAATTTATAGTTGAAATCAATATATGTTAGTAAATCATGGTGTCCCTATGCAAATTGAATTACACACAGTATATTATCGGTCGTCGGTTGAAGAAGAGTGAGGATTCGCTGTTTGTTCTTTCGTAAACTAGCCGGCCGGAATTTCACAAAAGTCATGAGCGTATTAAAGCGATGAGTGCAAAAGTAATGGGCTTCGAGAGGATCTCTTTTCTCGGGGACTTCAGTCTCTATCGAATTGTTCCGATCAGTTCGTGCACTTCGTGAATAAAGCGTGATTGCTAAGCTATGACTTTAAACACTCAGCAACAAACATGTAATATTTACTGCCTATCTCGAGATTTTGAGGCTTACATAGTCACTTCACTCCTTAAATGGTATGACTATATTAATATATTAATATATTATTAATATTATTAATTATTATTAATATATTAATATATTAATAATATTATTAATATTATTAATTATTATTAATATATTAATATATTAATAATATTATTAATTATTATTAATATATTAATATATTATTAATATATCATTAATATATTATTAATATATTAATATATTAATTTCACAAGAGTGGAAACAGACAGCCATGGACGGGCACAGTAAATATTATAGGCACAGTTCATATAATCGAATATGTTCATATAGTAGGAGTCCGCTGATTATCTGAACTACATGTAATTTTTCGATCAAAGCCCCGGAGATCGTGTTCAGAAAAATGGATTTACGTAAACAAACAAAAGAGAACGTGTTGAGTTTACATTCATTTATGCTCGCAATACCTACAGTGGCCCACAAAAGTGTTCGTACACTTTTTAAAACATAATAACTTTTTTAAAACTGGTCTGAGTGATTTGAATTTTTTGTAGATGATAGAGGGACTGGTATACTAGACAATGTGGCCAAGATGTATTTTTTTTTAAATGTTGCTATTATGTGGAATGACAAAACAAAAATAGAAAATTCGGTAGAATAAAATAGATCTCGGTATTTTATATGCATGCTGAAAATTTGATCGAAATCGGTTGACGTTGTCACGAATTACAACAAATTAAAGATGGCAAAAATCGCAGTTTTGTCACGATTTTGATCAAAAACTGTAAAAAGTCTGCAGTTCTTAAAATCTTTCAACGCCTCGACTCTCGGTTAACCGATTTCGATCAAATTTTCAGCATTTACCGAGATTTACGAGAGACATTTTTTAAATTTTCGTTACAAGGTCAGATGAAAAAATTTAAAAAAACGAGAGTTTTTAATTTTTTTTCTGTCATTCCAAATAATAGAAAAATTTAAAAAAGACATTTTGGCCATTGTCTAGCAATACTAGTCTCTCTGTCATCTAAAAAACAAGAAAATTCAAGTCATTCAGTTTCAAAAAATGTATTGCATTTTAAAAGGTGTACGAACACTCTTATAATATGAGCACAGTAGAAGTTCACTAAATCGGGCTTTGGCCATAATTTCGTTCCAATATAAATGTAGTTCATATAAATGGAGTTCTACTGTACATGTTTTTGATTTTCAGCCTAAACCTTAGGATTATGTAATTTTTAGAATAAAGAATACTCGAGTAATTTTTAGAATAAAGAATACTCGAGTAATTCAAGGATAAAGAATACTGAAGAACAAGAAGAAGCTGATGATTAAAGAATACTGAAGAAGAAGTTGTAGAATTTAGTGAAAAGATAACGATGCTCACCATGAAAGCCGCTCGAAACTTGTTCGACATGATGTTGTACAGAATCGGGTTAATCGTCGTGGACATATAATAAAGAACACCGGACGTGTAGGTCATCAAAAGATAGAGATTTGCCATTCCTTTGCTGTTCGACGTTATGTGGTCCGGTTCTGTTCCATAAACAGCGATCAGCCGTTGTACGTGGAACGGTGCCCAGCAGATGAAAAATGCTATCACGACTGCAACTGCAACACATTTCACGTAATTTAATGAGAATGCCATAATTTTTACTAGTTCCGGTCAACGTTGGCAGATTTTTACCGATATATCTTCTGCCAACTTATACGTTTTGACTAATTTAACTCTCAACCGGACTTCCAATTACAATTAGATAAATGGTTTTTCATGGCCGCTGCGGGCCCACTCGATCCTAAAAAAACTATTTCTTATTTGCTATGCGGAAATTTAAAGGGGAAAATATGAAACTCACGTTTAAGCAATATAAAATTATAGAGGGTATTTCACCTAACTTGGATCACCTTGAATATATCGTTTATTCGGTATGTTAAAAAAAATGTTACGAGGAGAAGAATATTTTGTTCGAAGGCGCCGATACGGTGATGGGTCGAATTTGTTTCACAAGGTCATTTTCTCGAGATTTTAAGGTCATCGTATTTTTAAAAAATGGAACCACATATTTTCACTGCAGCAATCTTATAGCATATAAAAATACAAATCCAACGAGGTGCAGCATGTTGACCTTCACGTGACCTATAGCGAGAAAATCATGAAATGTTTGTCAGTAATTTCAGTACGCGTCGAGGGACAGTAAATGAAGGAATTTCAATTTCATGTAACGGAATGTCTTCTAGCGAAATGGATAATTCATTTGTTAAGGTCGATAAAGAATGGGCCAATAACTCGGTGGTCGATGATACCGATTTACACTGCATGGGGACGCTGATTCTGAAATTGCCTCAGCCAATCTGGGTTTTCCACAGACCAGTAATGCATATTGTGCTTATTTGCCCGTTATTTGCGAATAAGGCCTGATCAGTAAATAACATATGATCGAAGAAATATTGGTTATTCTGTAGAAGATTTAATATCCAGTTACAGAAGACACGTTATTTTTCAAAATCGTTATCATCGAGTGCTTGGAGTAACAAAACGTGGAGTAACGAACACCTAGAAGTTTTCTAAACAATTATCGTCAGAATTAGAGCAACGAGGAGTTGATCTAAGAGCACGTCAACAAACGGGTCGTTCCAATTAACCCAGCAGCGCCTCAATCGCCGGTCAATTATTTCGGCGAACCTGAAGACTAGGCACATAATTCTTTGATCGATTTTCCCCTTTCAACCGAGTATCATTGCGAAAACTAGCGATTCAATATTTCCGCGCTGAGGGTGCCACGAACAGCATTCGCGACGAGGGATAACGAGACGAAACGCTATCGTAAATTCGTCGGTTGCCCTCATCATCTCCACGAACTGTCGCACGATGAAATTAAGAGAGCGGCGTGCTCGAAAGCGAGCCTATAAAGGACGCGTTATCGCGGTGTGTCGATAGACAGTGATCGACCTCCCGAACGTGTCTCCCGATGATCTGCAATTATTGACTCTCATTGCCGTCGATTATTAATGGTCCTCTGTGCCTCCTATCGGGGGGAAATACCATCGGACAAGGACATCGCGCGATCCATTGAATTTAATTAATTGGACCTAATCAAAATATCGATTCCGCGGAAAGTAGAAATGGACGGCCACGGTCGGGACACGTCAGTCGACACCTTTCGTTCGTGGTTCAATAATATGACCTAAAAAATATCGTGAATCATATATCGGAGCCATTGCAAAGGGGAAGCTTGAGCGATATAAAAAAATGTTGCAACGTTTTTACGGGCAATTCAATTCGAAGCAGTTTTTAGAAGAAGAAAAATATGAGTCTTTAGTTCATTACCCGTTACGTCGTGGTAAAAATTTGGGTACATTTTTATAGTTACAGATTGTCGACAACCATAAAAACGAGCTGGAAGGCTCGAATAATTGTATCTCTTCTTCCCAAATTGTCCATTTTTGTGTATAATCTGAACGTCAGTTAGGGAGGCATTACTGTAATTATTTAGAAGAGAGTCTTCATCAGAAATTTTGGTGACCTTGAAATATATTGTTCAAGGTACCGTTTTGAACAACTTTTCTCTACAGATGTTACCGGGCTACCGAGTTAGGTCTGGGTTACGTTTGTCTTTTCGCATTGCATATATTGCTGGCAATGTATAAAATGTACATGTAGAGTGCCTCGCGTTTTTATGGAAATATGATCTGAGATTTATTTTCATATTTACTTGATCTATTTGAATAATAATCTTATCCAGACCAAATCCAGACAATACCTGCGAAAAGTATACAGCGTCCCACAAAAGTGTTCGTACGCCTTTTTAAAGATAATAACTTTTTCAAAGCTAGGCTAAGTGACGAATTTTTTTTTAGATAATAGAGGGACTAGCATACTAGACAATGACAAAAGGTGTTTTTTTTTAAATTTCGCTATTATTTGGAATGACAGAAAAAACAAGAAAGTCTCGTTTTTTAACTTTTTTATCCGACCTTGTAACGAAAATTATGCTCGTAGATTTCTAAAAAAAGTTCAAGTCATTTAGTCCTGTTTCAACATAGTTATCGCGTTTCAAATGGTGTACGAACACTTTCGGAGGCCACTGTACGTATATATTATTAAAATAATTCTCGGATATTTCTCATACTTTGTGCCTAAAATACGAGGCATTCTATACATCGCCTACATTTCATACATATACATGTAGAACTATTTTTGTAAACATCTCGGAAATGAAGGCCAAGCGAATGAATGCTTGATAACATATTTTAAGGTCACCTAAACCGATGATGAGTACCCTTTTCTAAATAATTACCAAGAAATCTGTGTCCATAAAATGAGTTCAGATTTATCGTCGTACGATTATTCTGAAGAAAGTTATGATAGTTGAGAACATCGGGAATTTTGCAAAAATCGGGAATACTTTCTCGGGCCATCGCACGCAAATTGATTTATTGAAATGTTTGAGAATTAATATGTTAACGAGCACGATTTAATTGCAGGCTATCCGGGACGATTGGACGTATTTATTAGGCCGTTATGGCAGCACCGCCATAAACGCTCTGCGTCCCTCAAAGTATTCATGGCGTAAAAGCGGAGCCCGTGGTTGAACGTCGAAAAATGGGGACCTTCGCTGCTTCGTTTTAATCTGACTATAAAGTCGCACGCCTGTGGCACATGTTCAGACTGTAGACAATATTCCACGGTTATATATCAATTGATCGCGCCCTATCGCCGACCCACGTGATCAACACCAATCAATAACGAATGTACGCACGCATAACACGCTCAATCATCTAGAAGATATTGCAACGACAGACGTTCTATGTAATGTCATTACTAGTCATGCGAAATTGCACGGTTTGCTGATGCTTTCATACTGGGAACCTAATTTCAGATCCGCTGGAGCTTCTAGACTAGGTTCCACATCTTGCATGTTGATCGATACTTATTATTATGGTATTATTATGGTGGTAGATTGATATACTCTCAAGAAGTTACCAATAACCAAATTCTATAGTAAGTTGATACTAAACGCTTGCAACGTACAAATTAAATGTACAATCATTATATATATATATATATATATATATATATATATATATATAAAGTGTATATATATATATATAAATATGCAAATAATAAATAAAATAGAAGCTAAAGTTTGTGAAACTGAAGAAGAATAGATCGTAAATTTTATTTCATTTTTGTCTTCATGAATAATTACAGAAACGAGTGTATACTAGTGCTAGTATAAGGATTTGTAATATAATCAACGATCACTTTTTAGTAAATAAAGATGGTGTTGCGGCCAAGTGGCCAGGATTTATGGCAGGGGCCATGTGCTTGGGTACCCCGACGGTATGGATCTGTCTGTGGCCGTTCCCGGGCACGTGCGGCCCCGTCATAACGTCTCCTGGTCCTTGATTACGGTCCAGTCAATTACGGTTGGGTCTGGCACTGTTTGGGCACGTAGGCCCATCAGCGCGGGGATGTTTAGCAGGTGTTAGTTTGCCATTCTCCCTGCTAACTCCCGGCCCACCGTTTTGGGGCAGTCTCACTGTTTCTGGAACTGCAGTGATTGGACCGTAATTCCTTGCGCAACAAAGATATACTTCGAGCGGTAAAGATATATCTTTGTGGGTTATACCAACTACTACTTCGAAATAGGAAATGGAAATAATTAAACTTGTAACCAAATGAAACTGGTAAAAGCTAATTTATTACGCATTTTGAGTTTTTACAAATGTATGTAGGTGTTCGCGGACTCTATCGCGCTCTCAACTTTTCGCACTGAGTCGGCGGGGGCTTCTGATTTGATATCTAATTACCTACTAGATTGTTCGAAGGAGAATTACGACTCGATCTCATTAGCGTTTCCACGTCGACGAATGACTCGAAACTAGCCCGATACCCGGTCGCGTTTGGGCCCTTTATATAGCCAGATTTTCTCTGGAAAAATGGTAGTGGGGGTGTTTCTATGTGGTCCGATTCCAGAAACGTTCGTCGTCGTACCCCCTTGGAAGTACTCGATTCGCGATACACAAATGAACCCCCGGCTGGCTGGCGCCAGCCTGGCGTTTGCCTTCAGGAAGGAATATAAAAAATTCGTGGGAAGATTCTCCGTGCGTTACACAGGTAACAACACATTTATATCTAGGATGAGTTCGACAAACTCGACTTTTGACCGCGAAATCCGGCAACTATCTCAATGTGTGTCGCGTTGCTCGTCGCCTCCCTTTAATCCCCGACGAAACACGGAACTGGCTGGTACCTCTCTCGTTGATAAACGACTGTACATTTATATAAACTTCTGTGGAAATTGAGAAATGAGAACTTTCGCCCCGGCTCAGCACAAATTACCCGATCGGAAGAAGTTACGAGGCGAGAGGGCGCTTTTTCTGACGAATGTCTTCCAATTCGACCGTGTCGGCGTGATAAATAAGCGTTCTAGGACCTAAGGGAAGGGTGCGAGGCTGAATCTCCTGCCGAAATTTTCAGCCTCGATTAATTAAATCTAGTGGAACGCGTGGGAACCACCGCGAAACGTCTGGTCATGGTCATCTGGTTCTACTTGTCGTACCAGAAATTGTATCAGAATTCTTCGAAAAATCGAAAAATTATTACA